GCTGTCGGACTTTTCCATCACTGTAGTCTTGTTTTTGTCCTTGTTTCTTGGTTTGGTGTCGAGGCCAATGATGGTGAGTCTGGTCAAGACCAGAGGAGTGATGAGCCAGACCGGTAGCAGCTGCGGTCTGGCTGTGCATTCGGATACTTCCTACGCTTTGAACAGCCGTTCGTGCCTCCTGGGAGTAACGAGCAGGGTCGCGCACATGCATAGGATGAAGCACAGCGTGGGCTGGGCCCAAGCTGCTGGCACCGAGCACCAGTGGCACCAGATCTCCAGAAAGGGCCAGCTGCTGCATCTGGCTTCTTCCAGTGCTGGAGGGACAAACAAGCCAGGCAGATTTTTCTAGATCTTGAATATTTTCTTGCTGAACATTTCTAGTTTGCCAAAACTCTAATAAGGTGCAGATCCAAACTTGGCCCATTCTTCAGCTGTAAGGTTGCTTGTTGGTAGAGCGCTGTTGGGGCTACCTCTCCCTGGCTCTTCATTATTTGCCAACTTATACGTAAGAGGATCAGGTTGTTTCTGTTCCCTAAAGAGCTGCGCTGAGCTTATGTTCAATTAACTGCCACTACCAGCTCACGGTGTTTCTCAGGTTACAGTCCTGTGATTGCTCTGTCTAATCTTTGTTTTTGGTCTCTAGAAGCACACCATGGATGTGCTCGTTTGAACAATATGAGCCTTGGGCTTCAGACTGGAAAGGAATTCAGGGCGCTGACTGATTTGCTTTCAGCACTATTCAGCATTCAACATTTCTTTTGCTAGAAGTCATTCAATATTTTTTTCAAGAACCATGCTTAATGTTAGTGAATTGTCTTAGTTTGAAAACAGATCTTGTGAGACTTGTGAGAAACTTCCTTGTGTTTCCTGTGCTTAGTTCCAATTTCTAATAATTTTTAAACCGTCAGTTGCTAAGACATGCATCCATTTAATATTTGCTTCTCTGATTTTTTAAAAATGGTTTTCTATGAGAAGTGATGTAGTACAAAATTAAGTGTCTTGTGGAGGTCTAGCATATATCTGGATGATACATGAACTGAGGTAGGCAATCCGTGTCAACCAAACATATTCAGAGTTGCCTTACAAATGGCAGTAATTAGCCCTGACTTTGACTTCCTTTCGAGTGTATTGCACTAATAGAACTGGCTATAAATTAAAACCCTGTACGCGGCAGTCCTGCAAACTCCCACGCATCTGAGTCTGAACTACGTCTCACCTCAGTGACTGCGTTGCATCCGTGGCCCTGACTTTGCTCCTTTCAGTCTGCCATCTCTCTTGTTGCCTGTGGTCTCTCAGTTACCGTTTTGGCCAATTTTTCACGTTGGGGTGGCTTGGAGGAGGAGAGCACCCAAACACTGGGCAGGAGGATGGGAAGCACCCAGGAGGATGTTGGGGAGCACCCAAACACTGGGCAGTCCTGGCGCCGGTGGCGGGAGGCTGGGGGGCTGAGCTGAGTCGCTGCAGGGAGCGCTGACAGCGCCGAGAGAAATTCCAGCACCGCATGGTTAAAAGTCACCAGAGAACAAATGCATCGAGTTGCCATAGCAACGAGAAGATTTACAGGAGCCTGAAATTCTTGTACTTTGAACCTAAAATATGCCTCTGAAAAATATTCCGAGTTTGATCGTGTGGCACAGTTGGAAAGTGTCAAGGCTAAAACAGGGTCTGAGATCTCACTGAACGCCAGGCAATGTCCTGTCCAGATGCCTGGCTGGTCCCTTCCTCCAAAACCTGTTGGTGTGATAGTAGGATAGTGCTTGGGTTTTACTCGCTTCCTTGAGCGTCAGGTGCAAGTTCCTGTGCGAGGAGCTGCAGCAGGATGCCCGTGGGTGTGCATGGAAGCTGAGGGCTCCCTCGGAGCAGGACCACGTGCTTCTCAAGTGTGCCCTCGAGCAAGAGCTCAGGAGAGCTTTGCAGTGCATTACGTGGCCTGTTTTAACTAAGTGTCCTGTTGCTTTCACCACTAAGTTTGTACCAGAAGTGGGCTGGATATTGTCCACTCTGGGATCTCTGGTTGCCACAAACAGCAGACAATCTTTAAGCATGTTAAGCTACAGGCTGAAAATGAATTCATTCAACACAATTTAGGAAAATACATCTTTCCTCACCTAGGTTCTGCAATGCTTCTGCTGTTTGCACATTTGGGCTCTGTGGCGTGTCTGTGTTGCAGCAGAGCACTCATTGCAGCAGAGCACTCCTCTTTCTCTGTGAGGTAACGAGGTTCCCAATTCCCTTTCTGCATCTGCAGGACGGTTGGCAGAGATAGGAATTTGCATCTTCAGATAACACTTCTTCTGGACACTTCTAAGGGTTAAGTAAAGGGTCAGGTAGGACAAGGAGTTGCTGTTGTTTTATTCTGTGCGTTATATTTTTGAGGCACTTTGAGACACTTGGCACATGCCAAAAGCTACAGATTTAGGCCTACTGTGCTCCCAAAACACAGTAAGCAGATAGTAAGCAGAGGCCAGGGTAGCTGCCAGGGACAGTGTATGTATCACCACTTCTAAACCAGGGTGGCGATTAGAGATGCCCAGCTGGAAGAGGTCCTGCTGGTAGCTCCACGCACCCTCCTCTTGGTCCTCCTGCTGCCCTCCCTTGGCAGTGATTGCTGACCTCCTCCCACAGAAGTCTTGGTGCTTCCCAAGCTGCTGCTTCTGAAATCTCCCAACCGTGATGCTTTGTGACTTGGACTTTGCCTATCTCCTGGTCATCACCTCACGGTCTCCCTGCTGAGACTGTCTGCCACAGCGTTGTGTTTTGTCAGGGTGGTGGCAGCCTCAAACCACGTGGCGGCCAGACCATGCTCTTTCCTTGCCCATGTGCTGCTCCAAAGGTGCAAGGCAGCTTTTTCACGAAAGGAGGACACTGTGGCTCCAGTGCCCCACTGCTGGGACAGGAACTGGCAATGGATGGAGCAGCTTCCTCGTCTGTTCTGACAATCCTCGTGTTCTCTCCAGGAAGCGTTTGCTCTCCCTTCCCAGCCCTGCATGCTTTCCCAGGCCTGCTTCGTTGCCCTTTTCCCTTCCCGGACAGGACTGGCCAGCACTGACTGATGCCGCCCTCTCTGGTTCTTTTGCAGTGCCTTTCAGAGAAACTCCCAGTTACACGAAGCGGCGACGGATCCTTGGCGCAGGTGGCCTCTCCTCCCCGCGCATGCTGCAGCGTTCGGCCAGCGACAACAACTTGAAGGCAGAGAGCCGGGCGTCCTACTCGCCGGTGCCCTCGCTCCGCAGCCTGCCCCCACAGCTGCTGGTGCAGATGCAGGAAGCGGCCGTGGGGGGGGGAGCAGGGGAAGGCCGGCTGGGCGGGGAGGGACAGTGCCGCGCTGCCCCGCAGCTCCCCGGGGCTCCTGAGAGCGAGGAGGGTCTGCAGGGCTTCCGCGGGAGCCAGGAAGCAGAGCTGCTCTACCAGACCCCTCTCCTCTTCGGTAGGACTGTCTTGGCACCAAGCGTTGGATTGGGCTCAGCAGGGTGGCAGCACGGCCGTCACGTGTGTTGGCCTCCCTAGGAGTCCTTGGACCTTCAGGCTGCCGTGGGCAGCTGCTGGGGACCACGAGGTCTTGGGTGGCAACTGGGAAGGCTGATGGGATCCGACATGGTGCAGGTGCCCGGTGGCCAAGGCTCTGCATCTCCCTAAGCGAGTGTGGCGGGGAGCAGGGGCCATCCGGGGAACTGGGGTACCGCTAGCCTCTGGCTCGCAGAGCAAGCACAGCAGGGGTTATTTTCCTTTACCTTTTCCCTAAGCCTCAGTCTAATTTTGTGCCTCTGAAAACTGGTAAGTGCATCAATTCCATGTTGCGTTTGTTGTTGCTATGACAATGAATGCATCTTGAAAACTAATACTTTGAGGTGGCATATTGCAGATAAGCCAACACCTAACGTGTCTGAACTGACATGCAGGTGGCAGTCACCACCTTCTCTCTACGTGTACGTGTATGTGTAGCTGCATTGCCCTGTAGACCACAGAAGTCCTTTGGGCCTGGAAAAATTTGATGGGAACTGTCATTGTACCCATCAAAGAGTGTGGAGACTCCTTTGTGGATGTGCAGTTTCCAGGCAGATATCTGCTGCCGTTGGTAGTACGGGAAAGTGTTCGTTGTGTTTCACAGGGTTGCAATGAGTGGTGCACGTGGGAATAACGTAAACCATGCGTTCTCCCACTGCTTCCCAGTCATCCATTGGCCTTGTGAAATGCAGACTGCAGATATGACACCCGCTCGTCACACCTAGTGCCTAGCTTTGCAAAGGGGAAGGTTTACAGGGAAGCAAAGGCATAAATACCCTTTCTGAATGAGGAGGATGACTGCTACTAATCTCTGAACGAAGACCGCCCCTGGATATGTGTTGCTTGAGAGCGTTCATTGCAGAGAGGCCCTTTGGTAACGACCAGATTCAGGTTTTGCTTTTTTTAATTGCTCTGTTAGTAGAGAGGTGAGACTAACCGTAGCCAAGACTGATGGAAAAAAACCATCTACTCCGAAGGGGCTAAAGAGAAACTCTGTAATACCATAAGGTTAGAACAGGAGCTTGAAGAGTGGGCACCAGGTTTGGGGTTATTGCTGTGTTTACTAATGACTCTGAAATGGATTTGAGCAGTGAAGAGCCAGTCTGCAGATGACAGCTATTTACATTAACTCCATACCAGAAACAGCTTTGAGGGCCTTTGGGGCAATCTAAAGAATTTTGGGAAAAAGAAACATGATAGTGAATAAAAAATAATGAAAATAAATGCAAAATAGCTACTAGAGGGGAAAAACCTGAACTACTCAAGCACCTGGTAGGGTTCTTAATTAACAGTTTAACTCAGGATAAGTTGCAGGATGTTTTCTAAACAGCTCAGTGGAGACCTCTGTTCAATATGCAGCTTCAGTTCCAAATGCAATGATATTAGGTTGCCTAAAGAGCGTGATGGATGATAATACGGAAAATAGTCTAATACCTTGGACTAAATCAATGATGACACCTCTCATACCAGACTGGACACTACAGGTCAGCGAGAGTGGTGCGAGTTAAAGGGTTTCAGAAAGATGCAGTGAAAACGATCAGGAATGAAAAAAATCTGTGCTTTGAAGAGAGATTTAGAAGAACAGGATTGTTACCTTAGAAACAAGATGAATAGGAGGAAATATGTTAAAAATATTGAAAATACTGAATGGCTGAGAAGAGGGAAGTAGAGAACCTCTCCATGTTTCGTGGCACAAGAAGAAAGGAACGCGCAATGAAATTAATAGCAGGCAAAGTCAAAACCAGTAAGAAACAATGTTTTTTCTCCAATCTGCAATTAGTTCTGGAATTTGCTGCCTCAGGAACTTGTTAAAACCAGAAACACAGTATGATTGTAAAAGCATTAGGCTGGCACGAGTAAAACATCACTGGGCAGTGCGTGTGTGTGTGTGTGTGTGTGTATTATAATCAGTCAACTTTTGGAAGTATTCTCAGAATTGTTTGGAGCACCTCATGGCCTGGCAGGGCGGAGGGCAGACCTGCTGAAGCCTCGAGCCTTACCTAGCCGGACAGTTCCTGGTGAGGAGGAGAGCCAGAGCCTGGCTGGGCTTGGAGGTGCTGGGTGATTCGGTGTCAGTCTTGGGGAGCAGTGCAAGTAGGGTCTTTGCAAAAGCAGGTCTCTCGTTCAGCTGGAGGAGCTGGTGGGCAGCGATGTGCTACGCCATGCTTGATGTCTTCTACACCCTGACAAGTTTGGAGCTGTCAGGATCATATGGAGGTGATCTCAGCGACATGAGAAAAACAAACATGATCCCTGATAAGTCCGAGGGAAGGAAGAAGCAACGGCTGCTGAACAGGTGGTGGGGTCTGAGCCCTGCAGTGGCAGTCCTGTGTCCCCTCAGGCCCCCTGCGTGGGGGACGGGAGGTTCAGCTGCCGGGGGGGCGAGCAGTGCTTGCGTAAAAGCGACGTTCCCGTGTAGGACTGGCCTCCGAGGTGCGGTGCAGGTTGCACGCCGCCGCCATGTCGCAGGGCAGCGCGGAGCAGCGGTGGCCTGGGAGCCGCCTCCGTCCTCGGCCGGCCGCGGTTAGGTGATTCCTGGTTACGCTGCGTGGGCTCGCTGTGGCGGGCGCTGGGATAACGCGCCTATTTTAAAAGCTGGTGTGCTTTTAAATTATACAGATTTATAAAGCACAGCGTTGTCGTTCAGCATGGATCCGTACGCTAACGGGTGCTTAGAGCGGCTATTAGCAGGGGTATTTTCTTTGATCCAGTATTTCTTTCCCTTGTTTGGCCTTATCACTTTCCTGCTCAGTTCCCAGTGCGCTCATATTAAGTTTAATAAGAGCTTTTATTCATCCCAGGGCTGAGGAGCAGTGGTGTAGTGATCCCTATCTCACGTGAATACTGAGGTCCTAGTGATGTTTTCTTTTTAAACAAGCAAGCCGTCCCTTTGTGATGGCTGTCAGGAGGTCCATAAACACGTGAAGTCCTCTCACATTGTCCTTGAAAAAATCTTGCAAAACATTGTTTCTGGATCCGATTTTTATCAGAGTAAATACCAAAAAAGTTTAGTATCTGTAACACACCCCCCAAAATTCTCTGTTCTGAGGGAGAAAACCGCCAGCAAAATTCTAATCTTTTTGCATACATTCAGGGTGGCAAAAAAATTTAAATGAAAGCTAGCTTGTCATTAGTATTTTATTTTTCCAGAAATGACATGTAAGAGCACCTTGGGTGCCCATGGGCTAACCAGCAGGTAACCTCAGCACTGGTGTTCAGCTGTACCAAAAATACAGTATTTATTCTTGTTGCTCTCAGACTTCAGCCATACTAATAATTTTGATGGCTCTATATGTCTACAAAGATGTCTGCTGCAGAGCAGCCAGCCCCATGTTATAATGTAAATGTTAACCATATGGTAAGAATTAATGCAAATAGCTAGGAGAACTGTTGGGATTCTGACATACATAAACAAAGGGAAAGAAGTGGGGGTTTTCCACCGAATACTGCATGAGTGAGGCTAACGTTGGGAATGACGGTCTTGTCCTCCCTTTGGCTCGAATATGCGTAAGTGTCTTTTGGTCAGACTAGCAGGTATTACTAGAAATGTTTTCATGTTCTAACAGCAGGGAAGGCCAAGCCCTATTTTTAGTTTTTATTTTGTAATAATCACCAAAGCAAGAGACCGGCATGTCTTTGGCCAGAACTGCAGCATCTGCTTTCTGCATTTTAACATATCTGTACTGCAGTAGTGTTGTAGGGAGCCCGGTCTGTTCAAGGAGAAGTGGCCCTGTCTGCCAGCCAGGAGTCAGTGTCCTCCCAGGGTGTCACAAAGACCCTGGTGTCCTTGGGACGAGGAGCCAGAGAAGCATTTGAGGATGGAGCGTGTCATGTGCACAGCAGAGCGGGAGGCTTGTGTGGGGAGCAGAGCGGGCTGGCGGTGGGTACTGCATGGGGACCATGGGAAGATGCGGGCAGAGGGTGGCCACCGTGAGTCCGGGGAGCCACCGCCTCCCTCCAGCATGAAGGCTTGTGTTGAGGTCTCCAGAGAGGGAGCCGGCTCTGGTCAGCTGGAGAAGGCTGAACCTGAGAACAGAAGTTTCACCCTGGAGGAAGGGTTGCGTGTACGAGCTCAGGATGAACCATCCCACCTGGGCATGCCAGGAGCCCCTTACAGAAAGGCTGCGTCGAACAGGATAGGGGTGGCTGCAAGGAGCCCGGAGCAAAAGAGCCAGGTGACACGGGAGGCGCTTTGGGAGCCGTCTATCTCGAGAGCAGGTTTGTGGGTCAGCAGTGCCAAGGAGCATGGAGCGAATCCACCCCAGCTTGGCTTGGGCAAGTGTCTGGCTGAACCTCATGCAGCATGGTCCCAAGTGCCTGTTGGTGTGGTCTGCCTTTGTGCCAATAAACTGTTCTTGGAAACAAGCCCTGGGGGAGGCTGTTACTAACACACTGGGCTCTGAACCCCCAGGTTGAGTTGTGCTGTGGATTGATCAGAAGGTCCAGAGAGGACCCCTGGAAAGGGTATAACACGCAGACAGTGATTGTTCTGGGGAAACCCCTGTGATGGAGGTGCAGCAGCATTTTCCTCATTCCTGTGCTCCTCTGTCTGTATCCCTGGAAAGTTTTCTAGTCTCTGATCTGAAGATTTCTTTCTGCAGTTTGTTTGTTGTGCTTTATTCTGTACAGTTATGGTGAACAGCTTATTCCCTCCCCCCGCTGCAGCAGTCTTGTGCATACTGAAGACTGTTTATCATGTTTTCCTCAGCATCATCTCCTCTTTGGGCTGTTAACCTCCATTCCTTCGTCTTTCCCCAAAGGTCTGGTTTTCTAGCCCTCACCCCATTACTTCTCTGCAGACTCTCTCCAGCCAGCCCCCTTCGTTCTGGCAGTGCTGCACCCAGAACAAAACAGAGCAGAGCCGCTGAGTACAGCAGAATTCCACTGTGTGTTTTTCAGGCTGTAGTTTTGATAGTTCATGAT